GTGTCTATGTTAAGAGCCTTGATGATGGTTCTTTTATTTTTCTATTACTGTATGTTGATGATATGTTGATTGCTGCGAAGAACATGGATGATGTTATCGGTTTGAAAACTTTATTGAGTCATGAATTTGATATGAAAGATTTAGGTGCTGCAAAGAAAATTCTTGGAATAGAAATTTGCAGGGACAGAGACTCAAGGAAACTGCGGCTATCTCAATGGGGTTATGTTGAGAAAATGCTAGAAAGGTTTGCGATGAGCAGCGCGAAACCAGTTAGCACTCCATTGGCGAATCACTTTAAGCTCTCATCAGAACAGTGCCCTAAGACAGATAAGGAAGCTGAAGATATGGCAAAGGTTCCGTATTCTAATGCTGTTGGCTGCTTGATGTATGCGATGGTATGTATTCGTCCTGATTTAGCTCATGCTGTTAGTCAAGTTTGTAAGACATGTCTAAACCTGGTAAGCAACATTGGGAAGCAGTCAAGTGGATCTTTCGGTACTTAAAGGGTACTGTGGGACATGGAATTGTTTTCGGGAGTCAGCGGGATAATCCTTTGGTTGTAGGATATGTGGATTCAGACTATGCAGGTGACTTGGATAATAGAAGATCTACGACAGGGTATGTCTTTACTCTTGGTGGAGGGCCTATTTGTTGGAAGTCTACTGTTCAATCTGTTGTGGCTCTATCTACAACTGAAGCTGAGTACATGGCAGCGGCTGAAGCTGTAAAAGAAGCTTTATGGCTTACTGGTTTAGTGAAGGAGTTGGGTGTTCAACAAGGTGGAGTTCAGTTGCTTTGTGATAATAAAAGTGCTATTCACTTAGCTAAGAATCAGGTGTGTCGTGCTAGAACTAAACATATTGATGTAAGGTTCCACAAGATCAGAGAGTTGGTTGCATCTGGAGAGGTTTTGTTTCAGAAGGTACATACTGATGAGAATGCCGCTGATATGTTCACCAAGCCAGTTACGACAGACAAGTTCAAGCATTACTTGGACTTGTTGAATGTTTCGAGTTGTTAAAGAAGCAAGGTAACCCAATCCACATTGAAGTTTCCAAGGGGCAGGATATTCACCAAGGTGGAGATTTGTTATGTATGGCTCATAAAAAGTCTCGTTGTGGGGTTACGAATTATGTGGGTTGGGGGTGCGGGGGCGCAGACCCCGCGGTACGGTACAGGGTTGATTTTGTAATTATGTACCAGGGTTTTCTATTATAAATAGAGATGTAACCTAGACCTAAAATATCATTGAATAAAACTTCTAGCGCCGCCTAGGCACCGAGGACGTAAGCACATTTCCGAACCTCGTAAAATTCTCGTGTTCTTTTGTTTTCTTTACCCGTTTTCGTCAACACATTCCAAGTGCAATCATAACATGAACACCAATTGTGCATATCATAATGTAAACGAATGTACCTATAACTCTCAATGCAGCAAACAATGGGCTTTTCCATTAATTATTATATATTATTCAAATATTAAAAATATCAATATATCAACATATCCAACTCTTCATATCATAACATAATGGGCATTTCATACCCTAAACATTTCATTTCCACATAACATTTATATATCGTAATCATCGTCAATTATATTTCTTTAACATATAAACATCATATTGATCATGTAATAAATATCACAACTATCATACCAATTGTAATAAACTTGACTTATTTCGAGCATTTATTATAACCTATAACATAGGATTAACATGAAAACATAATTTATGACAAGTTTTACATGCTGGCAGTATGCACTACTTGCAAAGAAATATTATTTTGTATTAATATACACACTTAAAATTATTCCATTTATACCAATAGAAACTAGAATCAAATGTAAATCTAAATATATAAGGCACTTTTTCTAGTTCATCTTATACAATTTATAGTGAATTTTCAAAGTTGACCTACAAAAGCTGTTTTGAGCGGAATCTGCTGGCCTGCTTTCTGACTTATCCTTAATTAAAAATTCATATATTTTTCTATACATATCGAATCAGTATCTGCTTGTTTTAAACGAAACTATACTGACATACAAATCCAACGGAGTAAAAATCGTCCTCTAATCATTTCTATATAATTTATGATAATTTTATAAACTTACTGTTTAGAACACAAAACTTGGCAGATTTCACTAACTTATATTTTCAACTTATTAACTAATTCTATTAGAATATTAACTGAACATATATGTATGAATCACAATTCACATAATAGTTAGAAGTTACTTCTTACCATAGTAATTCTGTCACTAACTCATCGCAAGCCAATGTTTGATCGATAACACAAATACAAATTAAATATGCACTCACCTGGTGTTCTTAGCTTGTTACCTTCCTAGCACTTCATATTACATTCTTAATCTTCTCCTTAGCTTCAACATTTCTTGATCTTGATTTCAATCATAATCTAAATGAACACTATTTAAATAAGATATACATTTAAAACCATATAATAGATTCTTACTAATATAAACACACAATAGAAAATAAATTCCTGAAAAAACCTTTTGATGCTCATTCGATACGAATTTCATATCACATCATCAATGTTAACCTTAATACTTCAAATTGACCAATAAATCACTTTTTATCCAAATTCACATAATATTTTTAAACTTTCCATTTTAACAACCATATATGAATTCTTTTAGAATTCTTCTCAATTTTCCATTTTATTCCAAATAGTCATTTACCTTTTAGCTTCAATTCAAGTTTCAAACAACTTAATTAAATTTCCATAATCTAATTTTAAGCTCAATACCTCAAAAACTCCACTATTACCACTTAAGTCACTAACTTTCTCAATATTTGCCATTTAGTACTCAAACTTTGCCAACTTTTCAAAATAGTCAAATTTCACATTCTAACATCAAATTCAATCTTCTAACTTTCAATTCAAGCATAGAACATCATATTTATAATATTTTCACATAAACCCATAATTTTCCATAATTACCGAATAGGCCCTTCCCCTAACTTTCATAAAATTACAAAATGACTCAAATAACTTTCTAAAGCTTGTAGAACCTTTCAAACATCATTTCTACGCCTAGGGAATTTTTTCCCAATTAATACCTTAGGGCCAAATTTCCTAGTGGTTAGGGTTCTTGATATACACTTGATTCAAGCATGGATTCCACCTCTAAACAACATTTCAAGGCTTCTATAATCAAATCCCTAACATAATTTCACCAAATCACAATTTTCTCAAAACCCTAGGTCACGGCTAAATGAAATTTCACCCAATTTCAAGTAGTTTTAATTATCATACAAGCTTTAGAATTAATCTCCAACATCAAAAACATAAAAAAATAAAACCCTCAAAATCAACAAATCCTACATAAACCCAAATTTCCAAAGTCCTCATATAAGCATAATCTCCATGTAATATTTATACTAAATGATAGAGAATTTAAAGGGGATTAATTTTCTATTTAATAGCTTAATCCAAAAATTAATCGAATAAGCTTAAAAATAAAAAATAATATTATTACCTTGTAGCTATGGTGGTGCACATTATGGGGCTAGAAGAAACTGAAAAATTCTGATTTTTCTTTAATTAAAACATAATACACTTGGCTTAATCTAATATAAATGAATTTAAAATTCATTTAATGTGAAACTATTATTTTACCCTTAATGAAACATGATAATTTCAACTTGCCATTGTACTGTCATCCCTTTTAATATTTCAAATTCCAATATGAACAAATAAAAATCCACTTTCCATCTTTGCCTTTGCAAATTTTAAAAAACTACAATTTAGTCACTAAATTTAAAATTCATTTAATGTGAAACTATTATTTTACCCTTAATGAAACATGATAATTTAAACTTGCCATTGTACTATCACCCCTTTTAATATTTCAAATTCCTATATGAACAAATAAAAATCCACTTTCCATCTTTGCCTTTGCAAATTTTAAAAAACTACAATTTAGTCACTAAATTTTCTATGTAAAATCGATTTCAATTTCACTGACCACATTAAATTTCACTGCTATAAAATTTAGAAATAATATTTCCAACTTTTATAATTATTATTTGAGCTAAACATTGTTTATTCTCCTGTCTTCTTCCTAGCCTACAAATCTCACTGCTCCCGTATTTTGTCTTCTAATCTTCATTTCTGGACTGCTGCATTTATAATTAGAGAAAATAACCTCAGTGACCGAAAATTCCTTATAATATACGATTTTGACCAACTTTTTTTCGATTTGCCAAAATGACCAATAAAATCGCAATACGATCTCTAAATCGCAACGCGATCTCCATTATCGCAAATCAGTTTCCAGATTCGCAACGCGATTTTGACTATCGCATTGCGATTTTCCAAATTCGCAATGCGATTTTAGAAAATCGCAATGCGAATATGTAAATCGCAATGCGATTCTGACTATCGCAATGCGATAATACATAATCACAATGCGATAATACGTAATCGCAACGTGATTCTGACTATCGCAACGCGATTCTGACTTTCGCAACACTGAATTTCAAATTCGCAACAGATTTTAGTTTTGCAACACAAATGTTTTGGGTATATAACTACGCAGCAGCAACAACTCATAACCTAAATCCCTAAATCGCAACTCATTTCATCTCCATCTATCACTCTCTCCGGCGACATCCTTCCCCATCCGGCAACATGTTTTAGTTTCGCAGCTCGTTTGTTTAGTAAATTAATTTACAATAATGAAATCATCTAATGTTGATCATGTTTGGATAAATTTGTGTTTTGGAGGGTCATGGTAAAATGTTCATGGTGTTTTACAATATATGCCTTTACCCATGAATCTTCAACTAAAACTGTCATTAAAAAAGTTAACTTATGAAACTCTAATGTTACGTGTTGCAAATAAATTGAATTTAGAGCCCCTAAGTGGATTTAGGCTATCTTATCAGAGAAAAGGTAAAGTTTATTTGTTAACCGACAATGAAGATGTTGAACGATTCATTGCTTAAATTAGTGTTTCGCAAGATGATGTTACAGTGTATGTTGTTGAACCTAGAAGTAGTGAAGTTTGGTCAGTAGCGGGTAGTAATCAACTAAGTTTTTCTACCCCAGTTTATGGTGCTCAAAATTTAATGGTTCCACCACAATTTCATCACCAAGCAAATTTTGTTTCACCACATTTCCAATACCAAACATAATCTCAAAACCCACAACCTTTCCCTAATCCAAATCCCAATCAACTTTCAGCACCAAATTCCGGTTTTCGTATTGACCAGTTAGACGATGATGAGCCAACAGAAAAAATTGTGAGTACTAGTCAGTATTCGAAATTTGATCTTGGTCAATACCCGGACTTTGATCTTGGTCAATACTCAGATTTTGATGATGTTTCAGAAGAAGAAACAGACCATGCGTGTAATGATTTTGATATTGGTCAATACCCGAATTTGGATGATGAAACAGCCGCTGCCGAGGAAGATGTTGTTGATGATAATGAGGAGGAAGTTACGAATGTGAATGAACATGTTGAACATCCATTCTGTAATTCATATAACCCTGAAGAAGAAAAAAAAGAAGAAGAAATCCCCGAAGAAAATACCATGGGAGTATAACTGGAATATGCCAGAATTACTTCAGATACTGGAAGAAGAGTTGGTAAAGATAGCAGTTGATTGTTACACAAAAATTATTCGTATCAAGAAAGATGATTGTTTTGATACAAAGGAAGACTTGAAGATATCATTGTATACGAAATGTGTGGAAGATGGCTATCAACTAAAAGTTAACAAATCAAGCAAAGATCGTTTCGAAACAAGGTGTATGATTGACAAAAAATGTACGTGGCGTATGATTGCAAAGAGGATAAAAGATTGCGAAATGTTTCAAGTTAGGACTTTTATTGATAAACATACATGTTCAAGAACCCAAGTTTTTCCTCACCATAGACAGGCAAACAAAAAGGTGTTGGGTGGTTTTCTGGCTGAGTTAATGTCTTTGAATGGCAAGGTATATCGGGGACATGAAATTATGACTGACATGAATGCTCGGTTCAAGATTAGTATCTCATATTCTCAAGCTTGGAGAGCCAAATGTTATGCCTTGGAATTGTTGAGGGGGTCGCCAGAAGCATCGTTTGCCCAACTGCCGGCTTATTGTCACAATTTAAAGCTGAAAAATCCTGGGTCGGTAACTCATATCAAAATAGATAGAGATGGACGCTTTGAGTTGTTGTTTATCGCCATTGGTGCTGCGGTTAGTAAATCAATATAATTTTGTTGACTCATTTTTGTTAGTTACATGCATTTCACATTTAAATGATTATATTTCTTGTGTATATTATTTTGTAGATTCGTTCGTTATTACTTGCATACGCCCAGTTATTATAGTTGACGGAGCACATTTGAAAGGTTGATACCTTGGAGTAAACTTATTGGCAGTAGTCATGGATTCTAACAATGGGATATTGCCAATAGCTTACGGGGTTGGCAAATCTGAAACCTCTGATTCATGGACATGGTTTATGGGCCATCTTAGGGATTGCATAGGTCCTATTAGCAATCTGACAATCATATCCGATAGGGCAAACTCAATTGACAACGCTGTTAGAAGGTGTTTCCCAGATGCTTTTCATGGACTTTGTGGTGTTCATTTGTATAGAAATCTAAAATCAAGGTCTGCTGGTATAAAAAATCACAAATGGACATACTAGAATGCTGTAAAAGCTTATCGGGAAGTGGATTTTAATAAGCATATAAATTGTTTAAGACGTGTTTTGCCTCAGTGTGCTCAAACACTAGAAGATGTCGGGTTTGAAAGATGGTCAAGAGTACATCAACTTGGAGCAAGATATGGTTTCATGACGTCTAATAGTGCAGAATCAATAAACGCTCTAAGTCGTCATTCCCGAAAATTACCCATTACTATGTTAATGGAGTTTTTTCGAGCCTCTATTCAACAGTGGTACTACAAGAAAAGAAACCATGCAGGTATTATTTCTTTAAATTCGTAACTTATCATATATTTTACTAAGTATTATTTATTTATTTAAATTTACAGGAACATTGGAACACCGTGTTACACCATGGACTGAAAAAAAGATAACGAAACCTGTTGTGAAGTCAACGTCATGGAGAGTTGAACCATGTTCAAACACTTTGTTTGAAGTACTGGATAAAAACTTAAATGGGCTTGTCGATCTAAATGGAAAGACGTGTAGTTGTATGAAATGGCAAACATCTGGTTATCCGTGTGGCCATGTTATAAAAGTTGCTCTTCATCTAAACCAAGATGATTCAAGCGCATACGCTATGGATTGCTACACTACAAAAGTATATCGACAGACTTATGCCAAGATTATCTACCCTATTCTACATCCTTCTGAGTGGGACATACCAGATGACTTACAAACAGTTTTGCCACCAGCCATGGACATAAGGCTACCTGGCCGACCAAAAAGTCACGATCGTATACCGTCTAAGGGTGAAGAGAAGAAGTGATCGACATGTAGTCGGTACAAGGAAAGTGGTCATACAAGGTTGACATGTGGATCACCAGTGCCATCACAATCATCTTTTCCTCTACCAAAATATGGATCCTCATCAAAATCCAAAGCTCATATGGTGTCAAGCAAAAGGCAATCAAAATCAAAATCCCAATCACAACCGGCTTCACCTTTTGGGACTATTAACTTAGGTGATTTTTAAATGCAAACGTTTTATTATGTGTATTTTATGTGTAAACTTTTAACATTTTCAGTTAGGCATTTATTAGTACCTTGATTTTGATCATTGCTATGATATGTTCAGTTGTTATCACTTGTTACACATTCATTTTAATATCGCAACGCGAATTTGACTATTATGTGTATTTTATGTGTAAACTTTTAACATTTTCTGTTAGGCATGTATTAGTAACTTGAGTTTGAACATTGCTATGATCTGTTCAGTTGTTATCACTTATTACATATTCATTTGAATATCGCAATGCGAATTTGACTATCGCAACGCGAATTTGACTATCGCAACGCAAATTTGACTATCGTAACGCAAAAATCGCAACGCGAATTTCACTATCGCAACACGAATTTGACTATCGCAACGTGAATTTGATTATCGCAACGAGAAAATCGCAAAGCGAATTAGACCATCGCAACGCGAATTGACTTTCGCATTGCAATTTTGGCTTTCGCATTGTGATTTTGACTATCGCAACGTGAATTTGATTATCGCAACGGGAATTTGACTATCGCACCGAGAAAATTGCAAAGCGTATTAGACCATCGCAACGCGAATTGACTTTCGCGTTGCGATTTTGGCTTTCGCATTGCGATTTTGACTATCACAACGTGAATTTGATTATCGTAACGGGAATTTGACTATCGCAACGAGAAAATCGCAAAGCGTATTAGACTATTGCAACGTCTTTTGCCTGAAATATGATGCATATTGAAATCAACAAAATCAACTTTTACATTTCAATCAATTAAACAAGCACAAATAAGAATTATTTACACATCAATTAAACAAATCAACTTTTACAAATCAATTAAACAAGTAAAAAATAATAATTCTTATTTTCCTCATCAATTAAACAAATAATAATTTCATGGAGCTCACTTCAGGATTAACCAGCAGAAACCAAGCATTTGCTCAAACAACACTTTCTACATATCTATAACAAAAAAAAAAGCAAATTATTGAATTCTAGGTACTTAACAACACTTGCATTTGACTTACCAATTGTTTATGGACACTTTCATAACACGGATGCAGGTAGGCAGCGTCTCGCATATATCGCTCTAGCCATAAAATGCCAAAACCACAAGCCTACTGCACCTCTATCTCTATCGGTGGGAGGTAGAAAATGTATACTTCCTATCGTCAAACGCTCCAAGCACATGCATACGAGAGGACCACAATCCCCTCTGGCTTCCTGCATTTGTTGTGGCGCGGTCTCGTCTCTGATAACTGTAACATTGAATTTCTTTGGCTTCTTGTTTCCAGAATAAGTCCAATAATTAATCGCATCCAAGAATTTAGCCAAATGAGAGCTCCATCACTTAATAATATCTCTCAAATCAGACAATGATATGTAATTTATCATGCTGTCATATACTATTATCTTCAGGGATAGGAGCTGAAGCTCGACGAAAAGCCAATGAGTACGTTCCAAAACAGGGATAAACATCTGCAATCATAAGTAATAATTCAATTGCGCACTTATTTATGAACACCTTTAAAATATTTAAAAAAATAAAATAAATACTAACCTTATCGACCTCCCACCATGCAGGACAAAGTTTAGCTTGTCCATTAGCCAACACATATGATTCCTGTCGTTGATTCTTCAAGTGAACTACGTGAAAAAACGTCGGCATAATTGTATATCGCATTTTTTTTATTTTTCCTCATTTTCCTTATTATTAGAAGACGTGACACCCATGCATCAATATGCTGTTTTACAAAAAAAGACATATATTAGTGAATTACATAAATTTAAAAAAAATTAATCAAAATGAAATATAAAAAATATAAGACTTACCCCCCATCGAAATAGTCTTTGTCTTTAACCCCTAATAACACACCCCACCAAGACCGATCAATCAACAAATGCATATCATCGTTGAGTTTGTATATGTCAGCGTAACACCCCTGGCTCCGCTCATGTAATAAAATCAACTGCGGTCTTAGCCCAAAGGGTATTATCCAGAATTGTTTCCGGTAGTTGTTTCCTCTCCTCTTCATCTGCCGGAATGGTACTGGCCGGTAACTCATACGAAAGCCAACAGTCATCCATCATGTCCGGCATATGAGGGGGTTTCTCAATAATTCGACATATTAAACCGTGTGAATCGGGCTCTATAATGGTGGGAGGGACCTCTTCAACGATGACAGAGGCCTCTTGAACGGTGAGAGGGGACTCTTGAGGGATGATAGGGGCCTCTTGAACGATAGGAGAGGCCTCTTGAACGATGACAGGTGAGTCGGGCTTCTTACGGAGTCTTTGCACTATTGGGGTGAATGGAGACGTAATGGCACGTGCA